TGTGTTGGTCCATGCTGACTGAGCTACAGAGCCGGGGCGAAGCAGCGAGCTCGTCCAGCCTGTCAGGCTCTGTATTGCAAAGCGACAGACGAAATGCAGCATCGCCTTGGGGAAAGCCTCCATCATCCCCATCGCGTTGCAGTGGCTTTTGTGCCTCTGTCCTGACGCCGCAGTACTTTCCGCTCCCGAAGCCCTCGACGCATGCGTGCCCCGCGGTCGGAGTCCGCCAGTTGAGAGGCAGTGCATTACGTGACCCGCACCGGGGACACATGGTACGCGGACCGCGTCCCAAATCGTGTGTCGTATCGGCTCACCCTGTCCGTGAAGATGCAGGTTCTGCATCGGGAGGCGCTGGACCCAGGGCCGAGCGCGATGCAGTCCAGGTGTGCACATGTAAGCGCGAGGAGCCGTTCTGTATTTTATGCCAGGAGCACCTGCAACTGCAGTGCAACTCTCGTAGGGGAGGGTGATGACGAGGAGGAAACATAAACGCTAGGATGGTCGGAGGCGGAGTTGCACTGCTCGAGCAGACTTGCCGCAGGCAGGGACCAGTGCAGTGTGCAAGCAGCGTAGCTGCGCGGCGTCGCAATCGGCCGAGAGAATTCATGTTGAGATCCTCGTCCTCCGCCATGCCTGCCCCTCCTCTTCGCTTCTCGTCCACCGGCTCCTCCGCCCGTGCCTCGGTCGCTTCCTCGGGCCCGTCGGTCGGTCCCTCCTCGTCGCTCTGCGATTGGCCGCTGGTTGCCGCTGTGGCGCGAGGGGCGATCCATCCCACCACGTGAGCCTGTAGTAGAGAATGTCAGAATTGATACGGCACGACCACCCACCATGGTAGCCCAAGTCAACCTGCGCCGCTTCATCGATATACTGCATCTGAGCATATTCCCCTTCCCGCCAGATGTGTCCTCCACGGTGTTGACCAGCGATCTGCCGTAATCTCTCATCTGATCTCCTCCCCCGCTTTCCCACTCATCCCTGCTCCCCGCCTTCCTCCCGCTTCCTCCTCCCTCTTCCCCCGGCCCGCCCCAGCATTCTCCAGGCCTCTGGGCAAACTGCCGACCCCCGTGCCTCCCCGCCTCCACCGCCTCCTTCTCCGCGGCAAACAGCTGCCGACCCCCGTGCCTCGCCCCCCCCCCCCCCCCGCCCCCCCCTTGGCACAGAGAGGGTACGGCGCCAGCCAGCACGAAGAGGTGTAAAAGGGGTACGTTCCGTTCGGCGGGTTCGTGGGGTGGCCCCTCAATGGGTCTTCTGCCGCGGCAAGGAAAGCGCGACGGCCGGACTGTGCTTTAGCTTTGGCCCCCTGGGGCCCGTTTCAGGTTTCTCTGGGGTGGGGTCCAGAGGCCTGTGCCGCGTGTCGCGAACAGATCGCGACGTCGGATATCTCGCAATGTGGGAGGGGAACACGGAGACCCCCCGAGTCCTGGGACCACTGGTGGAAGGAGGTGGCGTTGTGGATCCCCTCTTCCGCCGCACCCTCCTCATCCGCTGCCGCCTCCTCCCCCTCCTCCTCGCATGCCACCTGGAGGCTCCCGAGACCGCTTCTTGATCCTCTCGCAATGACGGCCGTTACCCGGGGGGAGTGCGGGAGTTGGCGCCTTCGCCCTCGCCGTCGCAGACTCGGAGTTAGCTACCCCTAGCCCTTCCCAGATGGCGCCGGCGCGAGTCGTGACGTTAGAGGCGGAGAGGGGGGCGTCCCGGGCATACGCCCAGCAACACAACAACAGTCGGGGGCGGCAAAGAGAGGGGTGCTGACTAGGGGGCGGGGGGTTATCATGGCGTGGGCCATGATATTTCCCCAGATTTCGTGGCGCCTCTTTTTGTTTCCTTGCGTCCCTGGACCCCCCCCCTGGCCCGCGCACTTGCCGCTGGCCATGATGTGCGCCCCCCTCCCTCTTGGGCGCCCCCCTCTTGGCCGCCCCCGAAGCAGCGCCAGTGGCTGCGCGTGGCCCAGATTTTACGGCCACTCTGGCGCTCGAGCGCCCGGTGCTGGGGTCGCCGCGGCCGTGCGGTGCGCCCCGAAGGCATCTCCGCGGGTGCCCCTCACAGCTGCGAGCCACGCGGCGCCGTCGCCGCGGATACTCGGGCCGGACGAAGGGGGGGGGATTGGGAAAGGGTGGTGACGAAATTTGCTGCATGCAGGTGGTTTCGGCCCCACAGATGGGCCCATCCCTCGATACATAGCCGCCTCTGGCGCCGGGAGGCGCCGGGAAAATCAGTTACGTGAGCTGATTCTCCCCCCCCCCCCTTTGCTATCCCCCCCTTTCGCCCGACCCGAGGTACGTGTCGTGAGGCTGCTCGAGCGACGCCGCGGGGCAGGAGCGGGTCGACGATGGTCTGGCAACGTGCAAAGCCCGAAGTATTCCAAGAAGCTGCCGCGACCGTGTGGCGGCGCAGGGCGCCAAGCGGGCCAGGCGCAATGTTAGGCCCAGAGAGGGCATTCGGGTATGGATCCGCCGCACGGCTGGGACCAGCTGAGGACCAGCCGCACGGTCAGGACCAGGCGCACGGGGAGGCCCTTGAAGCAGACGGCTTTCGGAGCGAGGGTGCTGCTTCTGGGCGGAGTCTCGGCCGACCTGGGCTCTGGGCAGGAGGATGGGGGCTCCTGGCCATCCTGTCAGAACTCGCCGCTCGATGGTGTGATGCCCTGCTGGACGGATCTGCCGCTGTTGTGAAGGACGATCAGCGGAGAGGAAGCACGTTGCCACATACATTCCAGAGGTCTAAAGCATGCCTTAAACATGTTTTCAGCATGTTTTCAGCAGGTTTAGAACATGTTCCTACAGTTTAAACACATTGAGAATTCAATGGCAGGACTGTCAGGGTGTCCATTGTTGTGGCATCCACGATGCCGCTGCACTGCGCCTGGCTTCTCTGGCGGGCTGCGGCCGCCGACCGCCGTCGTGCCGTCGACGCGCTGGACGCCCCTCTGCCCCGCACGGCTTCTGCCGAGCGAGGCGCAGGCCGTCTCGCGTGGCCCCCGTCGCCCAAAGGCTTCTGCCGAACGAGGCGCAGGCCGTCTCGCGTGGCCCCCGTCGCCCAACGTTGGAAATTGGAACATCTACGTGACCAGTGGCGGGCCGTTTTTCAAGCCTACGACTGTTCGATGGTCGGGGGCGACGTCGGGTTGGTCTGGTGTCTACTTTTTGTCCCCGTTCTCCCGGGGAAGCAACGCACAGTGTATGCACCAGGATCCCGTATACAGGAGGATCCGTTGTCCTGCGCGACCTTCGATGCGGGGCCAGAAAATGCGTCGGTGCATAGGGTTCGGGTCCCTGCGAAGGGGTGCGAAGGCTCGCGCCGTGTGTCTTCCGCACCTTGGCTGCCCCGATGCGCCCGTCCTGAAACGCTCGGGGGCGGAAAAGAGGGGGGTGATGACTAGGGGGGGGGCAGGATATCATGGCGGGGGCCATGATCTTTCCCCAGATTTCATGGCGCCTCTTCTTATGTCATTCCGTCCCTGGCCCCCCCGCTGGGCCGCGCACATGCCGCCGGTCATGATTTGCACCCCCCCCTCTTGGACACCCCCCTCTTGGCCGCTCCCGAAACGCAGCACGTACCGTGTGCAACACGCGCGGCGCTGACAGGCTGCGTGCCGCTTCGGCGCGTGCTGGTCGACGCTCTCTCGGCGAGCGTGCCGCGCCAGACTTTGAGACCTGCGCTTTTCTCTCCATCCGCGTGCTGAGCTCCGGGTCGACACGCTGCGGGTTGCGCGTGGCGTATCGGGGCGGCCAGGGGCGGCCAGGCTCAGATTTCCCTCCCCTGCGAGGCGTGGTTCGTATACCTTAGGCGATGCTTAAGAAAACTTAGGGTTTCGGCCAGAGTCTCGATGATTCTTAACGTGTCAATGAAAACATTAAGATGTTAATAGAAATGTTGGGTTTTTACTCAAGTTCTGAGACTATGAATTTCTTAACCCATGATTTCTTAAGCATTTCGCAGGGTGTATACATGTCCGCCGCCTCGGGGCCGATCCTCTGGGAGCCTGGCAGGCGGTGGATGCAGATCTGTCCTGACTCTGAGCATTTCAATAGTCGACCGCCTGCCGACGTGCCCGAAGACCGACGCCTCTGGTGGTGGTTCTGGGTAAGTCCTGCCTCGCACCCCCCCTCTTTGGGCAGGAGCAGGGGAACAAGTCGTCGTCGTCGGCGGCGACGCCGCCGCTTCCGACAAGGAGCACGACGGCGACGACGACGACGACGACGACGACGACGACGACAGCGACGACGAGGACGAGGACGAGGACGAGGACGAGCCAGGCAGAGAGCATGAGGGCGGGACGGATTGCGAGCAGGAGCGGGAGCCAGGAGCGGCCGCTGCTGCTCTTCGGGAGCTCAAGACGCTCCACAGAGAAACGCGCTCTCCCCCTCGCATCCGCCGAGGGGCATCCTCCGCGCCCCTCCCCCCCGTGAAGAAAGGCTGGGCCCCAGACATCCAGCGCCCGGAACACATCGAGACTCGGGACGATCGAAATGGGTACGGAAAGAATGGGCACAAAGACCGACAGCAGTTTCTGGTTCATTTTGGACAGCACTCGTTGTCCAACAGCGGCCGCGGATGCCTCGGGACAGCATTTGTTGTTGGGCATGCTACCCATTCTTTCAGTACCCACCTCGGGCGTCCAAAGGGACGGCGGTGCGTTGTTTGAAAACAGTTTCTTCGGCATCTCGGGGCCCTTCTGCCTCGAAGCGCGAAGCTGCGTGAGCATGCACTCGCGCAGCTCCTCGCGGCTTTTTCGGATCTGCGCTGGGCGCCTCCAGCGCCGTCCCTCTGGCGCGCCCCGCGCGCCAGGGAGGGTGCTCCAGCGCGCGGAGTTCCGCAAGTTGTGTTTACGCTTTCCCTATCACTCTATCACTGGGCCTCGGGGCCGTCAACAAAAACGATGCAGGACGAAAATGTGGCCCAGGGGGAGTGGTCTAGAGGTCGGTGGCCCGTGTCTCGAAGAGGTCGGGGCGCGGGATGTCTGGGGCTGCAGCGGGCGCGCGCACGCCCCCCGCTGCGCGATGGCGTCCTTCTCCCTCCGCGTGCTTGTGCTGGTCGCAGCCTCAGTGTCAGCCGATCACGCGATCCTCCTCCTCCTCCTCCTCCTCCTCCTCCTCCTCCTCCTCCTGCGCGATGGCTTCCTTCTCCCTCCGCGTGCTTGTGCTGGTCGCAGCCTCAGTGTCAGCCGATCACGCGATCTGCGATCACAGATCGCAGTGATCGGGGGATCACGCGATCGCCAATCGCCTCATATATGGGCTCGCCTCGATCACACCATCGTTCGGGCGCGAGTGCGTGCTCGCTCCGTGATCGGCGCGGTGGCCATCGTGATCGGGGCTGCGATCGAATCACGCGATCGGGTGGCGTGATCGGCCGAGTGATCGGGCAGGCACTGAGGTCACGGCGGCCCTGCCGTGCCCTGGCAGCGCCGTCGACCACGGGCTCGCGAGCGACCGCCGCCCTGGCGCCCCCGGCGCTGCGAGCGCCCGAGGCGCTCGGGTGCTGCGTGGTGGGCGGGGCCCGGTTTGACCCCGCCGACTCGATCCGTTTCGACTTCGACCGATTCTGGTTCCGATTCGATTCGGTTTCGGATTCCGATTTGGGTCTCGGTTGCTCCTCGGAGGCCTTACCGGCTTCCTGGTGTCCGCCGGTTCGGCTTCTGCCGACCTGGCCGCCGATTTCGGCCGATCCGATGCGTGTCGATCGCCGCTAAGACCTTTCGATTCGATTCTGCGTTCTCCTGAAACGGGGGGGTGAAGAAAGGTGCACCCTCTGTGCCCCTTTATAGGAGTCCTTAAGGAGGCCCTGGGGCCCTCGAGAGGTGCACGCTTCTCTCCCCCGGTTGATCGCCCCCCCTCCCAATCAGCAGCAAAGCGGCGGCCACGCCTAAGGTATGGCCAGCACCACGCTGCTGAGGCTAAGGCTTAGAGGGGATGCAGCAACCGCCGACTGACGTGCCTTCGTTCCTCAGGAGTGTGACCGCTTTGAAACAAAATGCATCCACCAACGCCCAAGGTGCTGGCGCCGTCCGCGAGGCCATGCTCGTGGATACCGAGGGAGGCGTGCATCCCCTGGAGCTCGGGGGCGACAAAACACACATCCGTATCCGCGGCCTAGCAGGCGGGGCCCCTGGGCCGCGACCCCGCGGATACGGGACGTTTCTTTTCTAACGGACGCCCCAAGCGGACCCTGTACGTGCGACCGCGCACTCGCGGGGTCGCGCCCCGGAATCGAGACCGCGAGGGCGAGGATACGGATATGGCGGGCCCCGGAAACTCTGAACCCAAACATTTTGCCATCCTTTGGGAGGGCGATCCTTAATTCGTTTTTTCAATCATTTTTCCTTATTGGTCATTGGACGTTTCGCTTCGGGCTTCGGTCTCTACCTATCCAGGCGCAATCTAGAAACTAGATCGGATGCCCTGCGGCGAGGGTGGAGAGGCAAGACTTCGGAGATTTCCTCGGCCCCGCCCCTCACGCACCCCGACCTCTGCGGGGGTGGCTCTGGGAGGGGCAGCTGGGGCCCAACTTCTAGTGGTCCCCCCAGGCCGCGCTCAGAACCGAAAAAGAACATATTCAAGCATCAAGATGGGGCCCCTAAAGGCCTACGTGGACAGGAGAGGCCCATAGGCCCCTGCCCGATCTCTACTTCCTTTGTTTCATCGCACTGCGCCCAAGCTCGCTCAAACGGACGCTTCGTGTGGGGTCCCATTGGGACGTACCGACATCGGCGCATGACATGTATGGCCATATCATGAGGCGGAGCCTAAACGGGGGCGCGCACAGGGACAGGGGTGGCCATGACTCCACACCCGCGCGCCCCCGCCTCTGCGGAGGCGGCACTGCGAGTGCGGCCCTGGAGCCCCCTTTGGGGCCACGGGGCCGCAAGCTCGAAACACTCAACGGTGCAAGACCGAGGACGGGGGAGGGGGCAGGAGGCGACAATACGACGGCAGCGGCTGCAGGCGGAGCCTCAGAGCGAACCCTCGACCGCATTCACGAGCACGGTTCGCCCCACGAGCTCGCACATCTCAATGCGAGCTCGCACATCTGAATGAGGCCACTCTGGGGCTCCATCGTCAGTGAAATACCACTTGGGTCGCGAGATCGAAGTAGAGGTGGAAGCTCAGGCACAACTCCACGAAGAGGGGTAACTGTATGAGGTACTGATCGTCATTCACGTTGTGAGCGTCACGCTGCACTCTAATATGAGGTTCTCTGGCGTTTGAACAGATCTAACAAAGTAAGTGATGATGCACGTCTGGGCTGTGCAGTGGCGGCGTTGTGTCTGGATAGCCCGTGGTCTATCGCTTCATCTGCTTCTTCTGCTTGCAGTCGGCCGCGCCGCCCTTGGGCTTGTCTTTGAACGCGAGCTGCTCGATCTGCTTGGCGACATTCGAATTTAGGCCGTGATCGTGACCGAGCTTGACGTTCACCGACTCCATACTTCCGTTCAGGCGCAGCACGGTCAGCGCGCCCTTCAAGTCGGCGCGGTGGTTGCAGGCCCAGGTCCAGCGCACCTGGTCCTCGCCCTCGTTGTTGAGCTTGATCTTCAAGCAGCGGGTGGCCTTCACGACGACGTCGGGATTCTGAACGTAGCCCCCCCACTTCTCCAGCACTCCTACCGCTGCGGCAGCTTCCTTGGGGTGGGGGCCCTGCTCGATGGCGTTTATCAGCTGCTCGCGGCCGTTGGTGGCTGCTTCTGCGATCCGAAAGACGTCCATCTTCAAGAGCTCATCTGGTTTCTTGCCCATGGGGTGGCCGTTGAAGTTGTCGCTCTCTCGAGCGGTTTTGCCTGTCTTGACATACTCCTGGAATCCCGTCTCTGGGGCCACCTCGGTCTTCTGGCTTTCTTTCAGGGTCAGCGTCATGTTGTCGTCGCGTGCTGCGCACTGGTGGGCGGCCTCGTGCTGGAGCAGCAGGCGGCACATCAGGTACTGGAGCTTGCCACTGGGCGCTGTCACCTCCTCGTCGTTGGCGCTGGCCTCTGGTACGCTCGCGGCTCCTCGTTTGATTCCGTCCGAGGTCTCCGCGATCGGGGCGAACACGGCTTGTGTGCTGAGGTGGCGGGGCCGAGGAGTCAGGAGGATCTGGCACTGCACCCGCAGGGTCCTAAGGCACCAGCAGTGGACGGGTACGGCATCTATTTCGTCGCACATGGCGAACTGACGTGTGTTTTTCGGCTGAACGTGTTGAAGCCACGTGGGCACTTCAAAGGTCTCAGCTGTTCATCCGCGAGGCCCGTGGGGTTCGCATATTTTGGGTGGACTGAGAACATCTGGTTGGCAAGGCCTTTGGATCCCTGGCACATACGAGGGCATTGGGAACACTTGATCATCAGGTCTAGGGCGGGTGCTTCACCTGCGGCCATCTTCGCTTCGTCCTCCGTCACGTACCTTCGCACTCGTTGAAGACGAGCACGGAGGACTTCGCACAACCAGCGGGGCCACTGGAGAGTCGGGGTGGGGCCAGCGCCGTAGAGGTCATAAACGTCACGGGCTGCTCGTTGAGCCTCGGGGGCCAGCGTTTTCTAAAGCTGTTTCAAGTCTTCGAGGAGGAGTCCCAGAAGAGAGTTGGTTTCTTTGTCTCGGGGGCCCTCGAAGTTGAAGCGGCCAAACACAACGGCCCGAACCATGCGGAGGGGGTCGTGCCGTGGGTTGAGGGGCCTGCCACCTGGGTCCATGAGCACCTCTGGGTCCTGCACGTGCTCCCCGGGGTCCAGCACGGGCTTCACGGGGTCCTGGGGCGTGTTCTTCTCGAGGTCGGGGATGGCGGGCCGAATGACTCCCATTCGCCAGGCAAGGCGTCGCTCCAACAACGCGGGGGCCACTGTCGCAACGCGCGAGAGCTCCCTGACATCTGTATTGCTGACATGATGGACGTGAGCGGGCGAGCGTGCAAGGTGACGAAGCCTGCGAGTCTGCCAGCGTTCTAGCCGATGGAGGTCTCGCTTACTCGGCAGGGCAGCCCCGAGGCCGTAGAGGAGGGTCGAGCGGACGAGAGAGCACCACAGTCCTACTCGCAGCCGGACGCTGACATGGCCTCTGCAGGCTCGGCGGGCGAGACGGGCTTGCGTTGCTTCTCCACCTGCTGCTCTATGAGTCGCTTCGTCCACCATCGTATTCACATTCCTCTGTTCAGCTCCAAGGTGCTTCACGCGGAGAGTGGCATGTACGGGGTTGTTGTACATTTTGAGGTCGGCCTGCGTGGCCCTTCTTGTACGCTCTGCGCTGCGTGCTCCTTTTTACCCGTCACGGCGATCAGCATCTCCGTTCTTGCGTCGTTTACTTTCTTGGTTCCCCTTCGAGGCGTCGTTCTCCAGGGAGGCGGGGAACCTAGAGGCTGCATCGACGCTTTCGACCAGTGTTGAGGCGATCGGGTCATCGAAGGATTTTGTAGGCGGTACGACGATCCTCTCCTCTCATCTCCTTCGGTGCCCGAAATACCATGTCGGTGCCGAATCTTTTTCAACTCAGGGTCGAACGCGACGCATACCTCGGGAAACGCATAGGTTGCGAGGTTACACTCAATATCGGACGCGTGGAGGTCGTACACTGCCACGAATGAAAGCGGGCCCTCAACACTTCCTTGCCTGACGCCCGTCGGGATGAGTTTTCTTGCTGGGCCGATTCATCTTGATGTCACGGCCGATGTAGCACGTGCCCTCATGCAGTTCTTCCACTGTGGGTCGTGCATGTTGCTTCACCGCCAGCTTTTCCAGGGCTTCCCACATCGCATCTCTCTCTATATATCAGGTCGAATGCCTTCCCGAGGCCGATGAGTACTACCAGGAGGAGGAGGGGGAGGAGGAGGAGGAAGAGGAGGAGGAGGAGGAGGAGGAGGAGTAGGGGGAGGAGGAGGAGGAGGAGGAGGAGGAGGAGGAGGAGGAGGAGGAGGAGGAGGAGGAGGAGGAGGAGGAGCAGGCCTGGGATCCTGCCTGAGCCAAGCTTGGAGGTGCGAGCGTGGAGGCGGCAGCGTCCGATGACCTCGGCGACCACTGCGGGGGCGTCACGCGCGGAGCGGCCAGCCGAGGCCCCGAACTGCGCACAGGGCAGCTCTGGCGCGAGGCCTCTGCGTTCAAGGCATCACCGCTGCTCCAGATCTCGTAAGAAAGGGAGGGGGGTCTCATTTCGAGGGGGGTCTCTTCCAGGCTATCTTGGAGGGCCTGGGGGGTCTGGGGACGATGTTTGGGAGGGTTCTCCCACGGGGGGGGGGGTCTGAAATGGCTTGTCTTGGAGGGTCCAGACCCCCTCCCTTTTATTACAAAATCTGGAGTACCTTCATGAGCACCTTCCCAATGTGGCTGATCAGGTTTATCGTTCTGTGGTGGTCCGTGGCGCTCTTGCCGTCGCCTCTTGTCTTCCTGAGGGAAACCGTCTCTCCATCCTTGAACCTCTGGACCGAGTTGCCCAAGGCTTGGCAGGCTTGAAATACATTGTGAAGAGCTGGGGTTGCATCATGAATACATAGCTTCCATAGTTCAATTAGCGATCCGTTGTATAGCGTGGTGATCGGATCCTGGCAAAACGTGGGGGACGCCGAACCTGGCGAACCAGGATTTGGGCAAAGCGTGGGCGACGCTGAACCTGACAAGTCAGGATTTGAGCAAAACGAGGGCGAGTTCGAACCTGGCATACCAGGATTTGCATTCTCGGTGCCTGGCATGGTCATATTGAGGTCGGGGGCGCTCTTGGAGTTCGGCATTCTGCGTATGGCCTTCGAGACGTCGTCTACGCTGTAGGTGCCGATGCGCGTGTCGTCTCTCGGGAGGAGGCCTGGTGGTCCACCCGCGCCGTCCATGTCTATGATTGTGTCGTCGAAGACGGTGCACAGGGGTTTGGCACAGACCTCAGCTTCCTCCTCAGCGTCCATGCACGTCCTATTGGTGTCAGGGTCAGTGACTGTGACCACTGGGGCCACCGGTTTGGTAGCCAAGCGTCGGACCACGGCGTGTAGTTTGCGGAGGTTCGCAGCTTGTGTAGTTTGCGGAGGTTCGCAGCTTCTGCCTCTCGCGCCGTTGCTGCCAGTCGTTGCCGACGTTCTGCTCGTACTGCCTTAGCGGCAGCCCTGGCGGCGTCGTCGCACATGCCCAGGAGGTGGCTGTAGGCGGTGGTGGTCTGGTGTGAGACATGCGCCTCTGGATGTAGTGTTTATGTTCGATCAGTTCGGGGGTCTCGCTCGTCAGCTTGGGTCTGGATATCTTCTTCGGCTGTAAGACATAGTGAGGTGCCGCTGCCTCGATGATCGTGCGCTCCAGCACATTAAAGTAGTCCGATGGCGTGGTATTCTGCAAGGTTTCACCGCAGATCGTACTCCATTGTTCTGTGAGCCAACGTTGCTGCAACAGGTATTGGAGATGGGCCCGCATATCCGCGATTTGGCTCGGGGTGCCCCCGCTGTCATCACGTAGCAGACGAAGGTCCTTAGCAAGATCATCTCGGTCCCATCTGGCTGGTTTCGGGTCGGGGGTGCGTTTGGCGCATACCTGCATAGATGTGTGCCTCCACTGGCCTGTGGTCTCGATACCCCTCCAAGGCTGACTGGGAGGTCTCTGATGAGGGCTGCCTTGGTGCCAATGGAGCCGCTCACTTTCACGCATATGTTCTCAATGGTCGTCCATTATTTTCCAACGTAGTGCTTCCAGGTGCCGTTTTGCCTGCTGCTTTCGCAAAACGTATTGGGGGCGGTCATGTGGAAGGTCTGGAGTAGGTCCAGCAGGCGGGTGCCATTCATATGTGTGGCGGCGTACTGACGGCGTTGTCCTCCATATCCTGCGTATGGGAGGTGAGGTGGCATGGCCGCGTTAGCACCCATAGTCATCACAAGAGTCACTCGTTGGGGCAACTGATTCAAGGCCGCCCGACAGGTGTCCCAGAACTTGTTCTGGCATGCTCGGTGTGCCTCAATCTTCAGGTGGCGGTCGTCGCCGATCCTGGCGTGGCTAGCTTCGTTGAGCGGGGCGTATCCATTCAAAATGTAAATATCTCTTTCACGGGGGCCTTTTCGTGAAAGGCTTATTCCATGAAGTCGTCCGGCTTCCGGTGCGTGAAAGGCGTTTACTACCGCCGGCTTCCGCCAGCGGAGGCGGCTTCGGTTTGCTTCCTCCAGCTTCCGTTAAGTCGGGCATGTCTCTCTTTCAGGAGGAATGTTGAAGAATAGGTAAAGCATAGTCTGGTTCGATGTTTCCGTCGATGTAAAACACACATATATGTGTGTGTTGGTTATTCGTGTCTTCCCGAATCCGCCAGTAGGAGGACATGCCCGGCCTAACGCTTCCGCCGACCTGCAAGGGAGACAACGTGCCACCACGACCCCGATCATTGGCGCTTGCCAGACGCCCCTGGGCGTTTACGAGGCAGCCCTGCTCTGTTTGATTCCTTCTCTGGGCGCCTTTCTACGAAACTGCGTCGCTCGTCGTGGTGCTTCTTCTGTGGCTGTGGCGACGATCTATGGAGAGAAAGTATCTTGCCAAATGGTTACTAGATGTCTAAAAATGTTCCAAACATGTCTCAAACTTGTAAAACACTTGCCACTTTAAGGACATGTTCCGGCATGCTTAATTCAATGATCGGATTGGTACGGTGTGCATTCTCGTGGCATCCGCAGTTCTTGGGGGGGGACGTTTCTGCTCCCTGGACCCTTCCGCCGAGGCCTGCTCGATCCTCGATTAGGTCACTTTGCGACATGCCGAACACATTTTTTTTCAATGATCGGATTGGTACGGTCTGCGTTGTCGCGGCATCTGCAGTTCTGGGGGGGGACTTTTCTGATCCCTGGACCCTTCCGCCGAGGCCTGCTCGGTCCTCGAGGGCGAGGCCTTTCGCCCCTCGAGGCCGAGGCCCTTCCGGGAGCGCCTTAGCCAGGATTAGGTCGGGTATGTCCTCCTACAGGCGGACTTCGGAAGAAGAATGGAAAACTGTCAAACATCACCAAGAAGAATCAACACAAAGGAGGAATCTAATAATCGTCCCCAGTTTGTTTTCTTGGAAGTTTTTTGTTTGAGAACTCCTCCTGCAGAGGGACATGCCCGACTGAACGCCAGGAGCCGAAGGCCGCTGGCGCCGCGCTGCTGCGGCGGGAGGCCCCGACGAAGCTCGTGGACGTCAGGGGCAACGGTGGGGGGGAGGGGGATAGTCATAAGGGGGGGATGTGTCGACCCCCAATCGCCCATTGATCGCCGATAGGGGCCCGATAGCCCTAACCTGCCCAGCAGGAAGGTTCGGATTCACGATCTGGGGCCTATCGCCGATCTGTCCGCGATGTATCGCCGATTCCATGTCGATGCGTCCCCCCCTATGCCAGCCCCCCCCCACCGTTGCCCCTCAGTCGGGGGAGAAAAAGATACGGATACGTGTTGTCCCCCTTCGTCGTCGGCCTTTCCTGGTCCTCCTGGGGAATCCTCGTTGTCACCGCTGGATTCGCCTCGAAATTCTGGTCAGAACGCACCCCAAGAGAGGTCCGGGGACAACACGTATCCGTATCTTTCCGCCCCCCAATTCAGGACGTGCCCCTGCCGCAGGGCGTCCGGGGCGAGCAGGGCGACCGGGGCGCCGCGGGCGTGCAGGGCGACAGGCCCGCCGTTGAGGGCCCGACGGCTGCCCTGTCGGGCCCGCTCGGCCCTCGATTGGAGGACCATGCATACCTGCTTTCGACTACACGTAGGAGTGACCCTTCGCCGGGGTGACCTTTGGCGCGGGTCCACTGGGCCTCCCCGACCGCCGGATGCCAGTCGATGGCAGCGGCTTGCGCGCTTGAGCTTGGCGCCCTCGCGCCCCCCCAAAAGCCGCGCACCAAAGGTCACTCTTGCCTAGGGTGACTCTTACGTGCAGTCGATGCTCCTACAAGACTCGTCCAAAATAAATGGATGGATTTTGGTTTTGGTGCTTGCGTGGTGGGCGCTACATCAATGCTGGCATGAGGTATTCGGCGCAGACGCAGGGGTGTCCGAAATCCCGCAGTACCCTCACAGCATTGAAGAATGCTCTTTCTGACAAGTGCCCGAACTATCGAGCGCTTCGATGTTGATCAGCGTTTCATTTTTTCTTGACGAGGCTCGTAGACGACCAGCATCTGGGGCCGATGCCACATACCGTTTTCTCGTCCGAGCCAAAAACGTTTTATGGACACACGGGGTGCCGTGACGCCCATTGACACCTTCGGGGTAGATGCGTCAATGGACAACGTTGCCGTGGCGTTTGGAGCGGTGCAAGGTCGGAGAGAGGTAGATCCGTCTACGGTATGTTCCTGTCCTGGAGCAGGTCCCACATGGTACTCCAAGCCCTCGAACCCCTCGGGCCTCGATGCCCCCAGACGTTGGTCCCCTCTACTTATATCGAGCTGTAGGCAAGCTACGGAGTATGGAGTATGGAGACGCCCGAAATCAGTCTGCTACCAGAGCTGCGACCCAACAACGATTCCCACTCTGCAACTTCTTGAGAGACCACCTGCTCGCGCCGTGGACGGAACCGCGGCGGGAGGTCTCCGTGGAGCGGTCTCGGCCTCCGGGGGGCCCTCGCCAGGCCCCGGGGCCGTCACGAGAGGGCTCGGGACGGAACGCGCCGGCCCTGGGGAGAGGGTCGGGGCAGGAGGAGGAGGAGGAGGAGGAGGAGGAGGAGGAGAAGGAGAAGGACGAGGACGAGGAGGAGGAGGAGGAGGAGGAGGAGGAGGCCGAGAAAATCAGGACGTCGGATGTCTGGGCCTCGATGCCTCGTCCCTCGATGCTCGGCTCCGCGGCGAGCCCAGCGAGGAGTGCAGAGGGGGCGGGTCTTCTCGGGTGGCTCAGCAGGTCTCTGGCCTCCCTCCTCCTCCTCCTCCTCCTCCTCCCTCCTCCCTCCTCCTCCTCCTCCTCCTCCTCTCCTCCTCCTCCTCCTCCTCCCTCCTCCCTCCTCCCTCCTCCCTCCTCCCTCCTCCCTCCTCCCTCTGGCCTCCCGAGAGGTCTTCTGAGCCGTCTGCGGAGGCAGCGGTGGCCTCTCCGGGCGTCTGAGCGGCCCCGCCGCCTTCCCAGAAGGCCTGCCCCCTCTCATCTCCCCCCTGGTCTCGCCGCTCCTCGAGCCCTGGATCCCTGGAGCCCTGGATCCCTGGACCCTCAGGGGCCCTCGAACCCTCGATTCCTCGACCCCTCGATCCCTCGATCCCTGGATCCCTCGATCCCTCGACCCCTCGATCCCTCGACCCCTGGATCCCTGGATCCCTGGATCCCTCGACCCCTCGACCCCTTTAGGGTCCCTCGAACCCCTGGGCCCTCGGCCTGCGGGGCGCCCGCAGTGCCGCAGGGCTTGGCCCTGGTGCGGAGATCATGCCAGGCAAGTCCAGGCAGGTCCAGGTAGGTCCAGGCACCCTCAGAAACCTGGCGTCGCAAGTTTGTCCCACTGGGGGGAGGGGTCCTTTGTTCCGGGCCCCTGGACCCTCACAGGTCGATCCGGCTAGAGAGACTGCGCCGAAAGAGGGGGTCTGGAGCTCAGGTCGCGATCGTGCGCGCCGTGGCACGTTTTGCAGCGTCAGATCCTTAGGGCGGATCTCTTGAAACCCAGGGGGATCTCCAGGGGTAAGGGGAGGAGTAAAACCCCTTCCCGAGAGGGACGCCTAAGGAGGAGGAGGAGGAGGAGGAGGAGGAGGAGGAGGAGGAGGAGGAGGAGCGAGGGGAGCGAGGGGAGGAGGAGGAGGAGGAGGAGGAGGAGGAGGAGGAGGAGGAGGAGGAGGAGGAGGAGGAGGAGGAGGAGGAGGAGGAGGAGGAGGAGGAGGAGGAGGGGGACGCCTGGAGGGAGCCGTGGGCGCTCCCGCGCGAGCCGAGGGGCAGCGGCAGGAGCCGCCGGGCCCTCGACGGCCAGGGGCGCCGTGGGCGAGCGGGGCCCGCAGGGTGCCCCCGGCCCGGCCGGCGCGACGGGCCCGCGCGGCTACTCGGGCAGGGACGGCAAGGACGGCTCCCTCCTCCTCCTCCTCCTCCTCCTCCTCTCCTCTCCTCCTCCCTCCTCCTCCTCCGCCTCCTCCTCCTCCTCCGCTCCTCCTCCTCCTCCTCCTCCTCCTCCTCCTCCCTCCCTCCTCCCTCCTCCCTCCTCCTCCCTCCTCCTCCTCCTCCTCCTCCTCCTCCTCCTCCTCCTCCTCGGGGTCACTTCTTGGCTCCGCGCTGGGGCCCCCCCCTGGCGGCGCCTCCAGCGCCGCCCCTGGCGCGGATCCAGGAAGTCCGCGCGGAGCGCCGAGAGTTTGTGTTTCTGGCGTTTGTTGTTTCTTCTCTGAGGACGGCGATCCAGCGCCCAAGCCGGCGCCCGTCAACTGCGTCTGGGAGGACTGGACGGCCTTTGGCCCTTGCGACAAGACGTGCGGCAAGCACGCGCGGAAGAGGAGGGACCGCAACGTGCTCGTCTTCCCCCAGTTCGGCGGAAAGAACTGCGACGGAGGTTCCTTCATGTTTGCCGCGTGCGACGACACCGACTGTCCAGTCGTGCTCGTGAATGTGTCAGCCAACGTGTCTGTTAATGCGTCTTCCAAAAAGTCTGCCAAGGCGACTGCAAATAAGTCCTTGGGCAACGCTTCCTCCAAGCTTTTCAAGACGGGTTCCAAGAAGGCCGCCGCCCTCTCCAAGCACAAGAAGCAGGTGGTGGCCAGTGCGTTACCCAAGACGAAGCACATGAAAAAGGTGGTGAAGGAGGATCAGGAGGACGACGTCGAAGGCGTGGCGGAAGACGATGAGGATGACGAGGGGACCAAGAATGCCGCTGCTCACTCCAAGCACAAGAGGAAGATGATGGCCACTGCGTTGCCCAAAAAGAAGCACGAGAAGAAGTTTGTGAAGGAGGATGAGGAGGACGACGTTGACGGCGCGGGGGAGGATGACGAGGAGGTCGAGGGGGCCAAGAAGGCCATCGCTCACTCTAAGCACAAGAAGGTGGTGGCCACTGCGTTGCCCAAGAGGAAACACAAGAGGAAGGTGGTTAAGGTGGACGAGGAGGACGACGTTGACGGCACGGTGGATGATGATGAGGAGGTCGAGGGGATCAAGAAGGCCGTCGCCCATTCCAAACACAAGAAGGTGGTGGCCACTGCGATGCCCAAGAGGAAGCACAAGAGGAAGGTGGTGAAGGAGGACGAGGAGGACTACGCCGACGACATGGTACAGGAGGAAAAGGAGGACGACGTCGACGGCGGCTTTTGAGCAGCCCCGAGACAGTCCAGAACTTCAAGTCACTCGTTTCACGGGTTGAGGGCGTCTGTGCCGGGGAAACAAATTAGGAGCAGGAGGACGAATAGGATCACAGGCAAAGCATCAACGGCTGCTCTGGCCCGCCTCGAGCCAGTACCAATGTGGCCTCCAGACCGACAGTACACTTTTTTACAAACCGCCGGGCCCAGTGGCGAGAACGGGAAACACGGCGCGAGAAAGTCCGGGGGCGGGAGGGAGGGGGGGAAGGCGGGGGGGGATGGAAAAACAGCACCAGCGCGCCCCGGCGCGCGCGGGATCCAGCGGTTGGCCCAGGCAGCCGCCGTGCACCTAATTAATCTGGCGGCCCTGGGCGCTCCAGCAAGTGCCGCCGCATGGCCGCGCGCCAAGCCGCCTCGCTGCCCCCCGCCCGCGGGGCGTCCAGACGCAGCAGCCCGGCCGCGCGCGGGGGCAGCAGGGGCACCCAGCCGCTGCAGGGGCGGCTCGCTAGGCGCTGCCATCGCGGGGCCCAGCACCCGCAGGCCATGCAGGCCGCCCAAGCAGGCCCTTGGCAGGCGACGTGCCCCTGCCGGGCGCGGCCGGCGAACAATGCCATCGCTGCAACGGCCGCCCCGGGACCCGGCTCTGCGCGCGGCTGCCCTGGCGCCGCCGCCGGCGCCACCGCGGCCGCGACTGCGGCTTCATCGCCCTCGCGGGGCACGCGGCGGCGGCGGTGCCCTGCCGCCGTCCAGCGCCGCCGCACTCGCGGGCCACCCAGGCCATGCCCGGGCGACCCAGGCCTTCAGAGGCCTCCATCTCCACCATGGCGAGCACGCGTTGCACTGCCTGGAGGGCGGCCAGCTGCCGCTCCCTGGCGCAGCGCCAGCTGGGGCAGCCGGGCCTCGGCCGCCGCCCCCGCGAGGCGGTCCGCCGCGGCGTTGCCATCGCGGTCCTCCAGCGCAACGCCGCGCTCAGCGGCCTCGGCGGCGTCGAGGTGGCCCTTCACCCAACGCGCGTTCAGCGCGGCAGTGAGGGGCGATCACCTCCCAGATGTCCGCGTGCGCCCAATCCTCCAGGGAGGCGCCACCGCGGATCGCCGCGACGCCGTTGCTCACGAACCGGGGGTCAGTCACCACCTCGACGGCAGGACACGACTTGGTATGATCGGGGGCGGCACAGAGGGGGGTGATGACTAGGGGGGGGGATATCATGGCGGGGGCCATGATGTTTCCCCAGATTTCGTGGCGCCTCTTCTTATTTCATTACGTCCCTGCCCCCCCCGCTGGGCCGCGCACATGCCGCCGGTCATGATTTGCACCCCCCCCTCCTGGCCGCTCCCGGTACGAGTCGGAGGCGAGGGTGCAAACGGCACCCCTCAAGAGCGGAGGGGGGGGGAGGAGGGGCGCGGGGGGGGGAGGAGGAGGAGGAGGAGGAGGAGGAGGAGGAGGAGGAGGAGGAGGAGGAGGAGGAGGAGGAGGAGGAGGAGGAGGAGGAGGAGGAGGAGGAGGAGGAGGAGGAGGGGGGAGGCGGAGGAGGAGGAGGAGGAGGAGGAGGAGGAGGAGGAGGAGGAGGAGGAGGCGGAGGAAGCGCAAGTTTTGCTGCCGCCTTGGATCCTGACCCCCACGGGGGTGGCCTCCAGAGGCCCGACGATAGCCAGCAGCGCATGAAAGCCCAACCCCGTCGGGCTTCGAGAGTCGAGGGCGAGACTTAGCAGAAAGCTGGTGCCCCTTGTGACTTTGACTAAGCTGGGGGGCGAGTGTAAAAGCGCCACCCTTCGATTCAGCGTTGTAGGAAGAGGGGCTCCGCCCCCCCCTCCCCCACATCCTCGGTGACAGGCAGCGGCCGCCGCAGCCCGCGCGCTCAGATCGCCCAAGCCTCCTTGTGCGCGATGCGCACGATTATAGTCCTCCGCCTCCTCCGCTTCTGTGTCTTCGTCCCCCCCCCCTTCATGTGCGATGCAGGGCCATGCGCGCATGATGATATCGGCAAGCCGATGCTCTCTTTCACCCCCTTCGCCCCCCCCGTCACCGCCCCCGTCTCCGTATTCCCCCTCCTCCCCCTCGCGTTCCCCATCCCCCCCTTCCCCCCCTCCTTCACCCTCTTCCACCTCCCTCTCCTTTAGTTGTTTTCATTCTGTATGCGCAGATCTGCATCTGCATGCACGCTGTGCTTCCGAACGTTTCGATACAGCGGACCAGTCGTTTCGCCTGAGCTTGTCGGGAATGTATGACGCGAACCCAGAAATATCCAGAAGATCCATGACATGATGGCTTAGCCTTGCCATGCGGTTGCTTGGGGGATTTGCATGTGGAGGTTGAGGCGCTAGCATGGCGTGACGCCCTCCCTCGTGCGCCCTGAGTGTCACTTCTCACCGACAGCCTCTGCTGGGTGTCCTTGGGCCTCAGGAGCCCTCTGGATGTCTATGGCAGGCCCATCTTGGGTTTTCCAGGGGGCCCCGACGCATCTTGCAGCACGCGAACCGAGGGTCAGGATGTCACGATTTCATGAAGTCATGGGAAGAAGAACCACCCCGACCCCGACAATGGGAGTGTACTGAACGGCCCTGGGCGTTTACGAAAAAACAGCCTTTCCTGTTCAATTCTTTTTTTGGGGGCCTCTACTCAACGGCTTCGCGTGTCGGAGTGTTTATTGTGTGGGGGGATTTTCTTTTCTCTATGAAGGACCCCGCCCGGACGGCTTTCGTCTCGGCGCTGCGCGCGTGTCTCCAGTATTCAAGTTCACGGGGGGTCAGGTCTCGAGCTAAACGGTGGAGCTAAATTGTGTTTTGGCGATTACGTGGACCTTTATGCAATCAAACCGAAAATGGAAAACACTGTTTAGCTCGAGCCCTGGGTTGGGGTCAGGATGACGCGAGCTCATGAAGGGCCCCGCCCAAAAACAGCTCTCGCCTCGGCGCCGCGCGCGTGTCTCAAGCCTTCCGACGCTGCACGGGCGTAGGACGGATGGTAAAACAGAAAAATCTGGACCTTGACTGCCCCGATGCGCCCGTCTTGCTGAGATCCAACACGAGTCGTGTTCAAAAAACGTTTTGCCCACCCACCCCCTCGTCCTCGCCCCCCCCCTCCCTCGCCACCCCCCCCCCCCCTCCCTCGCCCCCGCTCCCACCCCCTTCCGCCCCCGCCCCCCCTCGCCCTCCTTAGCCCCTCGCTCCCCAGCCGCGCTCCCCCCCGCCCCCCCCCCCCCCTTCTCGCCCTCGCCCTCCCCCCCACCCGCCCCTGTCGGCCTGGCCCCTCCGCCGCTCCCCCACCTACTCGCCCCCTCCCCCGCGCGCACCCCTCCTTACCCCCCCCCTCTCGCCCCTCGCCCCCCTCCATAAGCGTCCACTGTGGCCGCGAATGACGACTTGCTCTCGTACCGTTTCCCTTGTTCAGATATCAGTGTGAAACACGTTGCGTGTTGGCTCGGCATGTGTTGGCCAGCGTTTTGTCGAGCGTGCCATGCCAGACCTACGTGTTCAAATATACGGCGGAGCATCTGTTCAGGAAGCCTCCTCCCGGACGCTATGCCAGCGTTTCTTAGCCAACTTGCCGGAAAGCTGGCCCAGTTTTTTGAGCAGGTTGGTCCCTCCGGCGTTAACAACAGACATTGGCCCAGGCTTGCTCTCAGAAATTTCCGGGAAGCTGGCCCATGTTTCTGAAGCGATCAGTTCCTAGATCAGACTTTCGGCTGTACGTGTTGAGCTCCGCGTCAACACGGTGCTGGTTGCGCGCTGCGTACCGGGATCCCACCTCAGCGCCGCACGCATCCGCTTGAAACGCTAAACTGGCTGAGGGTTCAATATGAAGGTCTCGCCACATCTCAGGAGGGGAAAAAACACACAGACACAATTAATCGGCGATTCCCAGAAAGTATGGGAAAATATGGGAAGTGGGGGGGAAGACAAAAACCCAGAAAAGATGGGAAAATATGGGGGATAATTTTATTTGTGTGTATTTATTTGTGTGTCCTGGGGCCCCTTCAGTTCAATATGAAGGTCTCGCCACATCGGAGGGCCCCGGCCCCTCTCTACCCCCAGTCCTCCCCGTCGTCCTCCTCGTCGTCGCCGCCACCGTGGTGGCGGTGGTGGCCGTCGTCGTCGTCAATCACCACCCACCAAAACACCCCAACCCAACCCGAAGGCTCAGATTTACCCTCGATTTCCAGTGGGGGGGGGTCGGGAAACATCGAAAAAACACATGTGGAACCCTTACCCCCCCCAACCCGAATTTCGGGTCTTCGGATTGGGTTGGGGTGGTCTGGTAGGTAGTCAATCAAGGGCACTCTCGAGGGCGCCAAGCTGTGCGCGCGTCCCGGTTCGTCTCCAACTCCTCCTCCTCCTCTTCTCCCCTTAAGACGGCACGACAGCGCGAAGTTTTTCGCGCCTCGCGCAGCTCGAAGCGCGAAGTTGGGCGCCCTTGTGGTGGTGGTCGTCGTCGTCGTCTTCATCATCCTCCGCCGTCGTCGCCGTGCACACTCGCTTTTGTGGAACGGTGGCGCCGGTTACACGGGTGGAGGGCGGCCCTTGTTCGATAGGGTACCCCAGCTTGGCCTCACTCTCCTTGACGCAAAGTGTACCCGCTTGCGCAGACGCAGCAAGGATGCAGGGGTGTGCTTGCTCTACATGCGGATTCCGCTTGTGACGATCATGTTGAAAACCAGCGTCACGGAAACATATGGAATCATATTGAAGAGCAGCTTCATTGGGCCATGGAATCATATTGATTTCCATGGCCCGAGACATCATATTGAAAAGCAGCTTCACGGAAACATATTGAATCATATTGAAAAGCAGCTTCATCGGGCCATGGAGCCACATTGAGCTCCATGGCCCGAGACATCGTGTTGAAAAGCAGCTTCACGGACGGAGGGTGGTTTCTTCACGAAGGAATCTTCCCCCGGGCGCTCCGCCCAGGAGGCCCGCGCTCCTCCCGCGCTCCGCTCAGGACGCCTCGTGTTCTTCTGTGGTGGCCTCAGCTTAGTGGGCCCCGGAAACGGCAGGGCCGTTTCTTCACTGT